ATGCACTAATATATTTCTATCATGCTATAAGATTGTTAATATGGATATAGTAAGAAAGAGAAATAAGGTAAGAAGAAAAAACATCTTACAAGATCACGATTGCAATTAATCCCACTAGAAATTTCTTTAGCAATTCTAATTTTAGTTGCCCAATCTAATGCTGAGAAATGATCGCGTAAATAGCAATGAAGGTCGCCTTTATTAGCAAATTGAAGAACCATATAGTATGTTTCAGCCTTCGGATCTAATTTAATCGAAACTTTAGTTAATTAATAGAGTTTATTCACTTATTACAAAGAATCGTATTATATTATCATGATGTGAAACTTTAGTAATAAGTTTAATCTTACAGTATTTTATAGGATGCAATAAAACCAGAAAAAAACCAAAATAAAAGCGTAAATAAAGACTCATAAAATTCATGGTATTATAAATTATTAATACTTCATTAATAAATCCATTTAGATGAATATCGTTATTATCGCAATATAAACTCTTTAATCACCCTTTAAAGCTATAATTTTTCAGCAACACTTGAATCAATAACAATAATTATACCTTTTCGAATGGATCTATGTATGTATTTTCAATCGTTTTATGTGGATGTTCACTAAAACTCTCGAGTGCAACCATCAGTCCTTCGTCTTCCCACTCAGCTTCATAAACTATTCCAAATCTACCTTAAATTCTTTATAGTCAAAAGTTTTAATTTCCTCCGGAAGTATTTCTTCAGTCATTTCGATCGTTGTCGAAATATCTTTTGAAAAAACTTCAGTTTCAATGCTATTGCTTGTGAAAGAATCTGAATATGCCGAAGTATTAGACTTTGCAAGAATATTCATCGTCGCTATAAATGAAATTTATAATAAACTCTACTGTAGTTCCGTTGATAGTTTATTGAGTTCAACTAAAACTTGGTCTAAAGATGGGCGCTGGTCCGGTTCAGTAGACCTACATTTTCCGAAATGATCAGCATAACTTAAAGGTGTATTATCAATAATTTTTTCTCTTTCACCCTATGCAATTTTAAAAAAAAATAGCTTCGTTGCGAAAATTATTAACAGGTGGGATTCCACTTGTAAGCTCCCAGAATAGTACACCTAAAATAAATATCAGATTTTTTATTGATTTCGACTACTTTTCCTTTCTCCGCAATGAATGATACATTGTGGCTCTACATATGCCGTTATCCCTTAAACCTGTGTTTTAGGCGGTACCAGTTGTAGCATCTAATTGTTTTGATATTCCAAAATCAGTGACTAAAGCCCTGTCATTATCTATCAAAATATTCATAGAATGCTATATACAATGATTTTGTGTTTACAAACTGTTGGATTTGTTTAAGATATTAGATCAGCCATTCTCGAAATATAGCAATTAAACAGTATCAAACATTAAAATTAGAGTCAGTGTAAGAGCTTATAAATCATGTAAAACAATTTCAATTTTAAAATGGTCAACAATATGTAAGCATTAACTATGTTATTGTATTATAAAAATGTCAGA